ATATATATATATATATATATATATATAATTTATATATTTTTAACAAACAAAAATTATAAAGTTATCTTACATGAAATAAATGAATAAATATTATATATATGTTTGTTCTAACATATTTTATATAAGATAATCCTATTATTAGTTCTATATGTTAAATGATATATAGGTGAACAAGTTTTTACATAATGCATTAACAGTTTGCAGAACTGTTTTGCTTTCAGGATATTCTTCTTTTGATAAAACCAGCAAATTGCTGCGTGTATGCTATGTATGATTTAAAACTACAAAAGAGAGAGGGAAAAACGAAGAACGCAGATGAAATAAAGGCACATTAAATCTCAAATGACAGAAACAATAAACAATTTGGAACTTTAAAAGCATACGTCTTGCACAAAGTTGTACATATAAAATTAATATAAGTAACTCAATTTAGGAATTAAAAAATTTGATAATAGTTAAGAACATACAAATTATTTTCTTTGCTTTATATAAATTTTTCTTTTGCATATAGTTGTTTATATACGTGTGAAATTGTTAATCATTAATTTACATTACAATTTGTTCTTACAACTGTGTATTTCACATGCATATATATATGTATATACACACACATACATATTTATAAATTATATAGTGTCTCATTATTAAATTTCTAATTTCATCATTGTACAATCTTGTCTCCTTACGTCATTACAAAATTGTTATATGTACATGAATTGTTGTCAAATTTTAGATTTACATAGTAAGATCTGAAAAGATACAAAAAGATACAACATAATATCTTGTTGAAAACTATATAAAAAAAATTTATTAAAAAAATATATAAAAAAGAAAAAAAAGAGACAAAACGAGAAGCTTGAAGCTTTCTTAAGTATATGTAAACGTGTGTGCAATCGCTAGATGAAATTAATTATTGCAAAATAAATTTAATAATATATGCCTTATTGATTGCTACAAATATTTATGAGTGTTATTAAGTGCAATATATTGCTGTATTAAGAATTAAATAATATCCTTAAAAAGGAGATCTACTATTACTTTGCATACTTATTTTGACTATGTATCATACTGTATATCCTTCACAAATGATGGTGCAAATAATGAGTGGACATCAAACAAATGGACAGTGTCCATCTTCGCAAACTCATGCCATACATATCAATGGCGTAAATGCACTGCATCAGTCTGATTTCACGCAGTATGGTCCAAATATTACTACACAAAGACATCGTGTTATACAGGTAAATGTTTAAAAAAAATCTTTTAGGTTTAATTTACACTGTATTAGCATATATTTTATCGTGTAATTCAGTTATATAAATTAGTAGTATTATTTCCTTATTCATTAAATATTCTTCCTTAAAATGAAGTATAATAGAATAATCATTGAGATATAAAAATAAAATAAAAATTTATTCAAGAATACAAAAAACATAATAATATTTGTATTATCTAAAAATTAAATTTATATTTATATTTTATTAACATTTAAAATTTTCTTATATATAACAATTTTCAATTCTTTGTTTATCCATTTTATTTTATGATTATATTCATTATTGGAGACTGCAGTCCATTTAATACTTCAAATGCTTCGGATTTCTTTATCCTAATTAATTAATTGAATACTTTGGAATTATAGTAGTATTAAGTGACACATAGTCGGAATATACAAAAAGATATTCTTGTAGACAGGATCTCCGTTAGATTTATTACAACTAATGGGAGTCAATGTACCATCATTAAGAGGTATGGAATATCTGCAACCAAGCAATAATTCATCCTCTGCAAATTGGGAAAGACGAATAATGCATACCAACAACGCATCAATTATACCATTCTCAAACTACAATTTCAAGCCTACAAATATCAATTCGACAAAGAAACCATGCTGGTATAATAAAAATAGACGGAGTTCATACAAGAATTCCTTTTCAAAATATGAGGCCTACAATAGTGACAGTGGGTTTAGTTCTCGATCACCAACACCAAATAAATATTATATTGACAATAGTTTAACAGAGAGTTCAGATGAACGAGATTCTACAAGTTCATTAAAAGGACAGTGGCTAAAGTAATTACTTTTAGAAATATTTGTTACTGTCTTTATTCCAGATATAATATCTTTTTTTTTTCTTTCTTTATAATCTGCATTAAATGCGAATTTTTAAATATATAACTTATATATTTAAATATATTAAGAAAATATAAAGCAGAGAGAAAAGAAATAGAAAGTTTTAAATAAATATAAAATATTTAATTTCAAGGAGTTATACATAATAAATACATTCATACACATAAAACATCTGTACACAGATTTTATATATATATTTTATGTATAATATACATATATATTATATATAATATATATAATATACATATATTTACTCATACACATACACACGCACACACACGTGCATATTAAATATTTATATTTTATGTGTACATATATATATTTTTTGTACATATACTTTTAAATTATTTAAAATTTTTTTTAAATGTATGTATATATACTTAACCATTAATTTAATTTTAAGTCGGAAGCATCACAAGATACAATCTGATAACGCACGTAACAATTATCAACGTCCCATCAATCATGATACTTCCAATTCTACTCAAAGATCTCGTGCACAAAATTATCACAACAAGAAAAGATATGTACCGAGTAAGCATTCTTTTTTTATTTAACAACATGTATGTATTAGATATTAAACATTATAAATATATAAAGGATAATTGAATAAAGATAATTTAATACTTTAATTTAAAAATAATTTAATAAAAGATAATTTACTTTCGATTAATTAGAATTCATTTTTAGCAAAAAATAACAATACGATCATTCAAAGGCATCCACGAAACCGTAAATATCATGAAATGCCGAATTATGACGTCTTTCCTGGTTGTATTACAACTCCTGATAGATTTCTTGCTAGATCTCATTTGCTAATAGTGCCAATAAATGATGTTCCAAATGATCTTCTGACTGACTCATCGTGGGATGATTTATCCATGCAAATTTGGCGTAAATTTGTAGTAAATCAACAAACCGAAGATACTTATAAGAAAAAAATAATGCTATGGAAGCACCTTAATACATATTTCAAGGTAAAATATGAGATGTAATATAGTAAAATAAAATATTGCCAAGATATTTATAAGATATTTATAAGATATTTATGATTTTAAGTAGCTAATTAACTTACTTATGTTATATATTTAAAAAATACTTTTAGAGTATACATCAACATTATAATATATTTTTTGTCGGCTCGACAATGAATGGATTTGGTTCAAACGATAGCGATGTTGACATATGTCTTTTAGTGAAGGACGTGGACGTGGATAATAGAGATATGTCTTTGCACCATTTACTGGAAATATATGATAATTTCTCTCAATGTGGTATGTAAAATTACAAATAATAAATGTATAATAATTTTTAGAGATCTATCTTAATTTATAAGTTATTGTTTTGATAATGATATTGTACATTCATTTTTTTCTATCTAGATTTTGTCGACAGACTTAATCTTATACATGCAAGAGTACCCATTATAACATTCTATGATACAGTGCGAAAATTTAAAGCTGATATGAATTGTAACAATTCTATTGCCATAAAAAATACGCATCTGTTGTATTGTTATTCAAAGCGTAAGTTCATTAACTTTTATATCTGTATATGTATCTTGTTGAAAAAAAATATAACAATAAATATTTTAAAGAACAATAAATATTTTTTACAGTTGATTGGAGAGTAAAACCATTAACACTTGTCATTAAACTTTGGGCTCAAGTGCATGACATTAATGATGCAAAAAAAAAGACACTGTCTAGTTACTGCCTGTGCCTTATGGTTATACACTTCTTACAATGTATGTATGCTGCAATAATTTTTTTTATTACTGTTTCCTATTTTGTGATCTGATTTACTGTGAAATGTTAAATATGATTATTGCTATTTTCTAGGTGGTACTAGCCCTCCCATTCTACCATGCTTACATTCAATATTTCCAAATAAATTTCAAGATAGATGTATTTATAATATCGACATACATGAGGAATTGAACATTCCATCTTCCAGTCAATTGCCTAAGAACAATCAGTCCCTTGGCGAATTATTAATTGAATTTTTCAAATATTATATGCAATTCGAGTAAGTAATTTGAATACAAATAATATATTGATGAAAATATTAATTATTATTGATGAAAATATAATTTGAGTAATATTTTATTTGGCGATATTTAATTTAGCTTTGACCAGTATGCAATATCTGTACGACTAGGAAGCAAGATATTAAAAACATATTGTTCTGAAGCTAGCGGTGATTCTTATCAATGGAAATATCTGTGTATTGAAGGTAAGAGAGTATTCATTATACATATATAAAGAGCATTGATATTTATTTAAATTATTATATATATTTATTTAAACTATGATATTTCAGAACCATTTGATTTGTCTAATGCAGCTAGATCAGTGTATGATTATGATATATTCACATTAATATTATTTATAATGAAAATGTCTTATTCGACGTTAAAACGAAATCATAATTTAGGCGATGTGTTTCGCGAATGGAAAATTTGTTCATTTGGTGATGATGGCAATTGGGTGAGACTATTGAGTGATGAAGAATGCTAAGATTGTTTTATGTGACATGTTTAATACCTTGTGATATTGAGTATTATTTTTAGATAATTTATAATATCCGCAAGGTATAAAGTTGTCTTCCATATTTAGTTCACATTTCCCTTTTGGGGAGATGTTGATTATTACAAATATAGAGATGTAACATTATTATGAACTGTATACGTAACATCCTGAAAGAAATGTTACTCTCTGCAATTATTAATTGTCAAAAATATAAAAGATTGGATGTAGACATCATCTCTGCAAACTTTAAAATTACAATATAGAAGAAAAAGTTTGCAATTTATATTAAAGCTACAATCGATCAGGCTTGCATAAATCTTTAAATCTTTAATCTTAAGATAATTACGAGATAATTTGAAGTATTAAGAGCAGCAAGTCTATGAATAATTAAATAGTTATATGATTGTAGCTTATAATAATTATAAAGCAATGATTATATCAAAATTATTTAATGTGATTTTTTTTAATGAAATTTTATTGGTGTATTATTTATGATCTCATGCATGAGTTTTTTTTTATCTAATGTTAATGAATATAAAATGTATAGTACTTCATATATACGGTTGTAATTATCATTAACATGATCTTATTGCTGCATGATATTGTGCACAATTATTTATTAAATATATAAAAAACAGGGACAAACAAGATCATAGATGAAATTTCCCTATTCTTTAATTTACTTGTTTTTATTATATTTAATAAGTATAGTCGCATTATATGTTTATAAAGTACTATATATTTTATATTTATTGATATTAGATGACAAACTTGTGCATGAGATAATAAGTCATATAATTTGGAAATATCACATTGAATAATTTTAATATGAAAATTGTTAACATCTATACTAAAAAATAATTATCAAATGCAAAAAAGACGATTATCAACATATTCTCAATTAAAAAATAAATTATAAATTGCTAGTCACAAAGAAAGAACCATTTATTCAAGTAACATCTTACAGCATTATATATATAAAAATGAAAAAAAGAAGGAAATAGTATACTTATTTTTCTAGTTACTATTTCTCAAAAAGACAAAAGATTTACATACATGATTCATAAAAAATATATAAACTTTTAGTATTATCTTTTCAAAACATTAAAAACCAAAAAAAAGATAAAGTCTTATTAAAAGTAAAAAAAATGTTACAAATTTAAAACGAATTAATTACGTTTATAGTATTATTCAGATATAAATATCGATGAACGAATGATAGTAGTTAGCAAGACTGTGTTTCTTTTAAAAGGATTAATGAATTTTCTAAATTCTGATAATTGCTCTAAAATTGATAAAAATATATCATGTCAGTGGGATGATTTATAACTTAATCCTGAAACAAGACAATCGGCAATATATATATATATATGAAGATTTCTAATTTTATTGAAAATTGAAAAACTACAAGCAAGTTTCTCTATCTAAATCGATATTTATGATCTTTACTTCCGATGAAATACATATTATGATTCTTTGAAAAATATTTATTTTTCTTATCAATAATCTGCAATTATATTAATCACGAATAGACAATTCAATTATTGACTTTATTGAAGGACATTTATTCAAAAATTGTCTAAGAATAAAGTTACTTTCTGTATTCATTAACATTGAAAACAATTAACATATTTACTTGTTGGAAGATAGCAATTTTTAATAAATATTTTTTATTTTTATAATCCTTACTAGAAGAAACACTCAAGCTTGATACTTCGCTTTATTTATCGAAAGGAGATATACTATTTCCATTCTTTTGCTAATATAATTTTCTATTAATTGTTTTTCTTCAAGAAGTATATATAGTATTGTAATGTTCCTTAAAAGTATGTAATAACATATAAAGAATAAGGTTGTATCTGTAAAATATAAGTAAATTTTGTGATTACTTTAACTTAGATTTCGTATGGACCAAATATAAACAAGTAACAATTATTGCAAGATGAGATGTGAAGTAGCATACATGTGTTTTGCCTCATGTGTATGATACTCGCGATATTTTTCGAACTGATGAAAACAGCTTAATTTTTCATCTTAATTCTGCTGCGATATCCAATTATATATACATATATACATATATACATATTTTTGTACAATACTTATACATGATTATCTATATATTACTTCTGCAAATTTAACTTTACAATACATTATTATAAAAGTAAGAAAAAGTAATGACAAAATCACACAAGTTTGCAGGTATCAAACTTATATCATTTAACTAAATTGGCAGTGCTAACTCTTTTGTCGAAGTTAAGATAAAATGTTTTCAGAATTTATAAGATACAAGCAACCTTTTGTAATTCCGATTTTCTAAATATATGCAATGTTAACGCATACATATTGTTGTATTTATTCTGTTTTATTCCTTTCTAGTTTCTAATCCTTTATTATAAATCAATAATTATTAAATTGTTGTTTTCATATTATGAACATCATAAAATCGATGATTTTGATTTACATGTCTTAAATTATAATTCCGTTTATATACATATGTTTATATTAGTGGTTGGAAGTTAGAATTTCGAAAGGCATCGATCGCAGTTCAAGGACATACAAGAAACGGTCGAAATAATATTGAACAATTACGCATAAAATATTCGATGAAATTTATACATTTATATAAAGATATTTCAAGATATTCAATTAGAATACAAATCTCTATGTTCTCGAAAAAATTGTCAGTTATCAAAAAAATAACTCCGAAAGGAGATATCAAATAGAACATTAAATTTTCGAAAGGCAGATTCTATATTTAAAACAAAGTTAATCTAATAATTTTATATTCTATATTTTCAAATTCTATATATTCTTTATATTTCTGTTGTAATGCGCAATAGATATTTTCCAAAATCCGTTCTAGACAGATTTAGTTATTAAGGAGTATTAAAATTACATTAAAATTATTTAGAAACTATATCCCGAAAAACATCGACAGAAATTGAAAGAACATACGAGAATGTTTTAAATATTTTTTAAATTATTAATTAAACATTTTGTATAAACATTAACTACATTCAGCAGAAAAAAATAGCTTTGCAACTGTTTTGTGTTAGAAGATATATATCTCTTGAAAAGCATCGATAGAAATTGAAAACATTCTCCTTCTTCAATTTTCGAAATGGATTTCTAGTTAAATAGCACCACGATTCAGGATTTATAATCCAGTAGATTATCATTTTGAAATTGGGGAGGATTTATTTTCCAATTATATGAATTGAGCATCAGCGCTCAAAGTCCAACGCCCCATAGATTTTTCGTGTAACAAAGCATAAAAACGAGTATGCAGATTGGCAATCACGACTCGATCGCGTCTAAGAAAAATAAATCCCTTTTAGGCCTTTGATTAAAAAAAAGAATTAAATTATATATGACTTATTACAATTATTAAATAAAATTAATATTAAATTACGAACTTACCAAATTCAATTAAGTTAAATTAAATTCTGCAATTATTAAGTTCGATGAAATTAACCAAAGCTTTGGCGATTGAAACACTCATATTAGCAATAATATAACTAATGTTAAATAGAAAAAACAAATTTTCTTCGATGAGAGCTTTAAGTAATTCCCTTCTGTGCTCCATAAATAGTTTACAAGACTAAAATACATGATTCAAATTTTGAAACGCGAAATCACACGAGCATGACGAAGAGTCAATTAAACCAATTTTGAAAAAAAAGACATTGCTTATATTACCGACGAGATATTACTGTTATTATTGTTATTATAACGGATTTAATTTTAAATTAATAGTTCGTAAAAGGAACTATTAATTTAAAATTAAATCCGTCATAATAACAGTAATAAATAAACATTATCCTCTCTTTGTTATCCTCAAACAGTACAGTCAAAACGATCGATAATATCAACTGATATCTTCCTTCAAACTAGTGGTTACCCGGCTACGGTTGCCGGTTGACGATTCTATTATTACCAATCACATTGACCGTAACCAGAACCTGCTACATTGTAATTGGTTGAAATACAATCGTCAACCAGCAACCGCTAGTCTGATATGGCTTTTAGGCCTGTTCTACAATGCGTTGTGTGTCGGTATCGTGGGTCATGGGCCATAAGAATGGGCCAATCACAGACAAATGTGGAGAGAATACTTGTGATTGTGATTTTTACGACCCACGACACACGACGCATTATAGAACAGGCCTTAATAGTATCTCGTCGGTGATTACACCATATCGTTCCATTTTATGGGGTGACACCCGTTTTTATGTAATGCGCTCATTGAATAGCACAAAGAATTTTCTAGATTCCCCTCCCTCTTCAGTGCATTAAGCCCGCATCAACTACTACTCGAACGTAATGCTGGATTCAGATCAGCGCGAGACACGACACGCGATGCTCGATATCCAATGAACTTTTCCGAAAAAAGCTGTACGCTCATTAGATATCGTGCATAGCGTGCCGCGTCATCGCACTAGTCTGAATCTAGTATAATTGTATTAAATTTATCTCTCCATCATCACATTTCTCTACAAGTTTTTCTCTCAGAATTTTTCTTTATACTCTAGAGACAAATCATGTTGCGGAAGGAAAATTTTAAAGTTGGCTACTCTGGCGAGCGCCATTGTGGTCTTCCGGTGGTAGCTCGCGTGTTGTTCCACTCGTGTCAGTCTTTTCCGGTAGGACATCAAGATGACGGGCTTCAGCCAGAAGGTTTGCACTTAAAAATTCAATATTTCGGGCAGTCGAAATGGCTCTTCTGCGGTGCACGCATACGATCATGGTTACTTAACATGGGAAGTAACGCGCGAGTTCTTTAATGATCCCAAAAAATTCTTTGTTATTGGAGAAAAGAAAAGAATCGTCCCGCTTGAGGACGTCGCGCACGTGTCTCCGGTAGATTCGACCGTATTTTCCGCGTAAGAATTGGAACATTGTACGTGTTATCAAACAATGCGAATTTCGTCATAATATATTTATTTCCTTGATACGAGATTTCCATGCTTCGAGATGTGCACCGTGTACGTGCCAGCCTGGTGTGAATATCCCTTGAATCGCGTGCATTGTTTCCTGCATTATAGAAACATCGAGAATCTCGCGGTACAATTTTCGATTTTTGTAATGGAGTTTATTACCATTACAGCCAATATTAATAGATGGCCGCGGCCATTTACTTGGACGATTGGCTGCTATTGTTGCCAAGACCATCCTGCAAGGCAACAAGGTTATCGTTGTTCGCAGCGAACAACTGAACATTAGTGGTAACTTCTTCAGGTTTGTGAATCTTCGATGCTTAGCGGTATTGTATTTCAAATACGTTTGATTAGAATATTAAAGGCGGTGATAATATAAAATATTGATATAGATTATTTATTAATAAAATGTTAGATATAGTTGAGATAATTGAAGGCTTATCAAATTCATTTAATAATTTATCATATTTTGGTATACAATGAAAATAAAAATAATGGCATCTGTTATTGATTGACTATATTACATATGATTTTATATGATATAGGAAAATATGAACAATTCTATGATTGATGCTATCTATTTACAGAAACAAATTGAAGTTTATGTCTTTCCTGCGTAAAAGATGTAACGTAAATCCTGCACGTGGTCCATTCCATTTTCGTGCACCTAGCAAGATCTTTTGGAAAACAGTCCGTGGTATGTATGGAGATTATATATTGGTGTTACATAGAATAAGAATATTGCACATGATTAATAAGCATACTTACCTACATTATTTGATAATGTAATGAAAAAATTATTTTTTATGATGTTAAGACTACATATGCTTGCAATGTGGTCAATGCAAAAAGAGATATTAAAGAGACCTGTTTTTTTAGGTATGATTCCACACAAAACACAGAGAGGAAAAGATGCTCTTAGGCGATTGAAAGTTTATGAAGGGTGTCCACCACCATATGACCGCAGGAAACGTGTCGTTGTACCTGGTGCTATGAGAGTTATGTGTCTCAAACCAGGTAGAAAGGTAAAAAATATTTCATGTAAAACATCCAACTTTACTTAAATTCTTGTGCTTGAATTTGATTATTAAGATAACAATGATGGTAAGGTAATTTGCGTCTGAAACTAGTCTACTTGACTTTTTGTGATGCGATTTTAAACTGAGTTATTCAATCTATAAAATATTTTTTTTTTGTAACATGGTAATATGAATACTAATACAAATTTTTTTTATTTTTAGTACTGTCATGTGGGTAGATTGTCTCATGAAGTTGGATGGAAGTACAAGGATGTGGTTCGCACATTGGAAAATAAGAGACGTGTCAGATCCATCCTTGAAGTTCAAAAGCGAAATAAGCTTAAGGTAATTAATATGTTCATTTATCAATGTTTATATTTTACATTCATATTCTTTCCCAAAAATGTTTATGAATTTAAATATTTAGCATTTGTTTTAATCATTGCTTTCTTTTTTTGCAGAAACTCACCAAACAAGCTGGTGAAGCAGTTGCCAAAGCAACGGCACCATACACAGCGATCATTAATAATTTTGGATACAATTAATATCGTTACAAAAATAATAAAGCTTCTTAAACATCTTAATTCAGAGTAATTATTTATAAAGAAATGTGATCTTGAATATTTTCTAAAATGAAGAAATTAAAAGTAGTCAAAAATTATAAAAAACAAGTCTAACTTATAATTTAAACTGCATGTCTTGACGCATCGCAATTTTAAAATTTGGATGGGGATGACATCCATATATCTTTTATGTCAAGTGTTGGTTTTCACACGTTAGTAATAGAGAGTAATATCTTTCGGGCTATCAATCATATTTTTGCAAAATTCAAAAAAGAAAATGAAATATTTAACATAAGATTTGTACTTTGCAAATTTTTAAATTCCTGAAAAATATGATTTAATAGGTTATAATGTATTAAATATTGTCACATGAATTATCGTAATTTATAGTTTCATTTACAAACTTGAACATTGGAATCAATAACTCAAAAAAATGAGGTGTGTAATGAATCATATGTATAATAAAAATTATTTTATTTAAAATGAAAATAAATACTTTTATAGTTAATCATTTCTTGTCATATATATACAAAATATAATAGTCTTAGTTTTCTATAGAATCCACAGTAAATACAACTGTCCCGCCTTTGTCATTATCTTCCTCGTCATGAACTTCATGTTCCTCTTCATTATCAGATGAAGAAGACGAGGAAGATAAATCGTTTGTATGTGACCGATAATTATCAATATTCTGTGGTATAAGGCCAACACTGTGTAGTCCTATTTGATTAGCTAGACGTTCCACTGCATGTTTCGCTTGAATTTCCTGTTAAATATTAAGATATTTGAAATAAAAAATATTTTTCTAATAAAAATCACACAATGTAAAATGCTTTCCTTGAAAAACTGAAATAATATAAAATTGTAAATTTTAAATACCTGTAACTTTTCAGTTTGTTCCTTCTGCAACTTTAAAGATTCGTTCAAAGTTAAAATCTTGACTGCACCATGAACTATAAGAGGCGGTGTAGCTGCTGTGACCTCCCAATTCTTATGTAGTTTTCTTAATTTTTCTTTTGCTGGATCATGCACATTGCTTTTTGTTGTTTTATATGGCTTAAAAGGCTCTTTCTTTTTATTTGTTTCCTGTGCTTTCTCTACTTTATCAACGATATATTTCACATGCTCTATGTCTAAGGGATCTGTTTTGAAAGATTCAATTTCTGCTATGTCCTCTGGTTTGATAAGGCTTTCTTCATGTGTCACATGTATAATCTTCTTTTTGTGAACACCAGTTCCTGTAGGCTATTAGTAGAAGAAACTGATTATATATGTTATATCAATTAATAAAACTTTTCAATGCTGTATAAGATTTACTAACCTGAGCTAATATTTTCAATGGATCTTCCTCATCGTCATCACTGTCTAATTCAACAATTTTAGTTGTATCTTCGTTATCATTATATTTCCCTGTCCATTCTAATTTGCTCATAGCTGCTTTGCCTTCAGATGCTATATTAAGTCGTGATAGCAAATTAGCTGCCTCCTCTATTTCATTCCTAAGTTTGAGTTCCTCCAATATCTTGTCATGAAAGCTTATAATTTTCTCTCCTTTGTCAGGAAGCTTTGAAATAAACTTTCTAAAAAAAAGAAAAAAAAGAAAAATAGATTTATAGACATTGAAAACATTGGAATATAATAGTTTATGCCCTACCTACTTATTGGCAAGAATTTTTTTCTGCCTCTCTAGAAGCTCTTCCAATTGAAACTTTTGTTTCTTCCCTAAATCATCAATGTAGCCTTGACTTTCTTTCTTCGGAGGAGGCGGTATGTCACCAGGTATTTTTCTAATGACATTTTTTGAAAACATTTTTCGTCAAATTTCTAGAAATGGAAAAATTTGATTAAAATCTAAATAGCGTCAAATTATAAATAGCAAGATGGAAATTAAGCGAAATTCTATTACATAAGCAATGTTCTCTTAAGAATTGTGTGTGTAAGTTCGGAGAAATTGGGACAAAAAAATTCACAGCGATGCGATATTAAAAAATAGTTACAGCGCAAGCTACTGAGAAATAAATCTTAGCTTCATTTCAGGTAAAAGATATCGAAAAGCATATTCAATGCGTATCTCACGTTTAATTTCAAACAATGTCATCGCGAAGAAACACAGATCTCAGAAAGATCGATCTTCAGAGGCATTTCAAACGAACTGTCATGCTGCGTTATTACCTCATCGAGTGGAATGAACGCGTAAAGACAAGTGAAGAATGAGATATAGGTCTGTTCTTTTTAGCTGAACTTCTCTTCATATTGGAGAAAAAATGAGAACAGATAAATGATGCAAAAAGTTCAGTTAAAAAGAACAGATTTAATATTTCTTGTAATTACACTACACACATTACGTTGTATCTTCTGCGTTTGAAATGATAATAGAGAACGAGGTGAAGAGATAAGGTGCATCTCACAGATCCACCAATCAAAAGTGCTAAGTGTCTATTTCTACCAATGTATAGATTTTTAATCTCGGTTTAATTTACTATCCTTTTTTAATTCTGGTATTTATTTTTACCAACATAGATTAACTTCAATTTCGATTTATTTCTCTTCAGTTTTTTAAGAATTAAAAAAAGATGAAGAGTAAATTAAACTCACAGAAACGAACATGAGGACGACTTTGATTAAATGCCGATTTCGATCAAGTTTACCCAGAGAGTAGTCTCAGAAATGCGACAAAGTCGCGAGATATCGCGAGACTCCAATTATTTTTCTTTCCTTTTTTTGTGCGAATCGATACGAAACGGCGCATCACATCCGAATGGGACATGAGACATCTGTAATTGTATTTCTCTGTAATTGTACTTTTCGCACTTACCGTCTTCCCTCTTCCTTCCTCCGACGTGCAATTACACGTCTCTCGCGCCTCGAGTGCAGAAAGCGCGAGTGAACGTGGGGAACGGGCCTAAGGATTCCAACCTCGATGAGAGTGCGAGGTACGATGTTCGGCTCGTCTCCCGACCACCACATCTGAGTCCGCGCCAATAAGACTGCCCGTGGAGAGTTCCGCGCTCGCGGCGGGTTCGGCGAAACCCGGGGGGGCGGGACTTCCTACACGCGCCGGCGAGAGAGGGACGTGGAGTTATGACCGAGGGCTCGATCGGGAGCAGCGAGCTCGCGAGGCGCACCGCCGCCAGTCCTCAGAAACGATGAATTGCAATGGGGGATCGTCCGTAGCTGGCGAGGCATGCAAGGCGAATGTTTCCATGGACAGCAGACCGATTGTCACCTGTGAGTTTCATGGTCGCCACCCCCGGCCGCACCGCGCCGATAACACGGCCGTCCTCATCGGACATCGTCCTCAACGCTCCCGTCCATTTGTCAATCCTCATGTGACAGAGGATCTCCTCTCCTTTTCTCCGCTCGAGGATATCGCTAATAAAATTTGCACTGATTAACGCGTATCTCCGAGAGCCTCTCGATGCCACCGAGGTTTTTCTTCAAGGCACATATGTCAACTTAATATTTTCGTAGAAAAATGGATTAGGGTTGCTCGAGATAATTCGGCCGATTTTGCCCGATTTTCTTTCTCCTTGTATGCAGGAATTCTATTTAAGTTCGTGTGGCAAAATTATGCAAGTTGGACTTTGTGACGGTTTCTTGTAGTATGAATCTAATTGTGCATGTGAAGATATACTGTTCCAATTTATGCAAATTTTTTACATTTAAGATAGCATAGCCTAAGATTGGAATAATTTGTGCGGTGATACAGGTGCGGGAGATGAAAATCTGTTTTCTACATTGGAAAAGAATTTACTCCAAGCTATACCTGCAGATATGGTAGAATGGCGTAGGTCATTCCGCAGGCCAATTAAACAAGTGAAACTTGGGGCTACCTTCGTGCCATTTTCCAGAGATATTTTGCCTACTGACAAAGATTGGCATCTCATAAAACAACCAATCTTTCATATTTATTGGACTGAATGTTCTGTAAGTTTAGAGATGTCGTTTGAACTAATTTTAATTTTCATTATATGTATAAATTAAGTAATAAATTTCAATATATATATTTCTTTGTTTATATTAGATATTTCATCATTAGATAAAATTCTGGATATATTTATGTTTATTTAATAATTTAACACAATAAAGTTTCATATTACTATGTCTTGTAGGATGTTGATACTTACAAGACTAGTGTCAGAGATGATATTGATGCCTGGTTAAAAATATTAAATTTATATCACATTCAAGATTGGGTAATTGTATTGGTAGAAACGTATGATGTAAAGAAGGTCAACAAGTTATTGCCTAGAACTACTGTCTTGGATAAGATACGAAGTGACTTCGCTGCCAAGAATAGTGACAGGTATGAGACATTACATTTAATCTTGCTGTGCATATCAAGAAATAACATTTTTATCTATAAATTATATTTGTGATTGTTAGATGTTTTGCTATAATTAATCCAATCAAATCTGAATTTCGTTCCGCGGAGTCATGGAGAGGCTTGATAAGTCGCATTCGTGTTTTGATGTTGACTGCGTATGATAGAACTCTATCACGTTTTGAAGAAGTTATACGCGAACAGAGAGAAAGGCGAAATAATCCTAATTGGAATTTTTGCCATTATTTTCTTCTACAGGTAATACAATGTTTATAATAAATAATTATCTTTACTAATTGTCTTAATTCTGTTAATTTTGAAAAGATTTTGAAATTTATATCTTTCTTGTTACAAAATCAAATTGACATTTTAGGAAGAACTCGCGCTTGTGTTGCAAATGTTAGGTTTATATGACGAGGCATTGGTGCAGTATGATGAACTAGATGCTCTCTTCACACAATTTGTGCTCAATTCTAATGTAGGAGGTACAGTAATCCTTGTTTAAAATTTATTTTGATTTGAAGATGTACGTTATGTAATGAAATTAAATATTGAGATACAAAGTGAAAACCTAAATGTAGATAAACTGTTCATAGATACTCCAGGATGGTTAAGTCTGTTTCAAACGCCTCTCAATAACTGGGGAGGTGTGAATTTAAACAACGGTACAAACCATCATCTAAGGTTTCTTTTGGCTGAATGTAGGGCATCTTTATTAGATCTTAGAAGTTATTTGTTTAGTAGACAATGTGCCATGCTGCTCTTGCTTAATAAACCTTGGGAGGTTTGTATTCAGTTATGGATAATTAATATGTAACTTTATTCTAATTATCATATCTCGAAATTATTATTGGATATTACTCTTGATAGGTTGCACAAAGGTGCTTATCGTTTGTTCACAACACATTAAGCGAGCTAAGAATTTTAGAAGTACAGAAACCTGAAGGATCTGTAGAATGTTGGTCATTCCTCTGTGCATTAGAAGTTTTACAAGCATGTCAATTGTCCACCAACAATATTGATAATAATCAACAATTAGACTTGTGCTCTTTGCATACAGCTAGTTTATGGGCACTTGCACGAGACAAGGTAAATATATTATGTCTGAGAGACATTGTAATATTTTATTTATTTGTTAATATGATTGAATAATGATAACGAATATAATCCATCTTTGTGTTGCTTATACATTTTGTTTTATCTTTTTCTTTTTAGTTAGGAAGCTTAGGGAAATTGTGTGGCCTAATGCCGGGAAGTGAACCAACTAGTGAACAATTGCACACAGTTGTGTATCTTATAGCAGGTATAGGAGATTCGGAGCCGCAGATAGAAGGAAAATTAACTCCTACAGACAAATTGAAAGAAGCGCTTTCATCCAAAGAAGCATTTAAGAAACAGTACCTGGAGCATGCCGAATTAGCCATGGGTACATATAAACATGTCGGCCGTATTCGATCAGCTAGATTAATCGGTAAAGAATTGGCACGGTTCTACAGCGAACTTGGAGAAAATCAGAAAGCAGTTGCATTTTTATCTGACGCTTTAAAAACCTACATGGACGAAGGATGGAATCACTTAGCTGTGCAAACACAATTGGAGCTAGCCGAGTGTTATAAACGAATGGACGATGTCGAAAAATATATTAAAGTGTGCGCGGCAGTAGCCAGCGCAAATCTTTTACATATAACTGTTCGTAATACATATTTGGAAGAAATGTTAGGATATATGAAAATGATCTCTTCGCCTCAACCATTGCTCGCAGAACTTGGATGTGCTTTTATAATACTCAGTATGGAAGCTAAAGTAATGGATAAGATAGTACAAGACTGTGTAGTTAATGTCGAAATCAGTGTACAGAGCTTATTTCCGCGGGAAGTAAGATGCACTGGCGCTGCTATCTCTATAGAAGAGATACAAAAGCCATCTATACCTAATAAGAAAAAGGGATTAAAATCTGTTGAGCCTCCAGTACAATTGTAAGTATTAATGAATGAAACACATTTTTGTTTAAAAATATAATAATTTAACAAAACTTCAATGAGAAGACAAACTATAAAATATAATTTATATTATTTTAATGTTATATATCTATAATATGGCATTTGTATGCATGCTTTCGATTTCATTCTATTTCAGATTATCAAAATGTACATTAGAAGATATGAAACTACTTGATCTCAGTTTATTACGTTTGCAAGTATATTCTTATTTGGATTACAAGGAAGACAGGAGTCTTGGCTCTGCTAGTGTTATTAACAAAAATACAAAACCAATTGTGAGACGCTCAGATAGTGCAAAGCACAGAAAACCTTCGATTAATGTAAAGGGCGATTTTAGCAAAGCGCTCTTCTGTGATGAATTCGTTATGAAACCCGGTATAAATACATTTGTCTTAACAAGACGAGTGAATCAACCGGGTTTGTACAAAGTTAACCAGTTATCATTGATGATAGAAGAAAAATTAGAATTTTTATCACCTGTATTGAATCCACGATTATGCTACGAAGTAGCAAAAACGCAACCAATGATATCCGTAAATTGTGGCAGAGATTTACTGGCAGGTCTTGTTCAAGATATTGAATTAATTATTTCGAGCGGGAGTACAAAGATAACTGAAGAAATGAAATTAAAATTGCGTACATCACGCGGTTTGACAGTGCAATCACAAAGTATTGAAAAAGTAATGGTGAAGGAGTTAGAGATACCACTGCCAACATGCGAACCATTTCAAACCATAAGGATACAGTTAAAGGTTCTAGCTGAACTTCCACCAAAAAAAGATACTTCATCTATGGAACATAAAGTATTTAATATTTGCAATTCATTTTATCTTTTTTTTATATAATAAATATTAATTGATCATTTTTTTAGTTGAATATACAATGTCCATGGGATTCCGAGGAAAGCATACCTTTACATTTTGGTCCACCATTGATGTCAAATATGAAACTTCACACAGCAAAACATAGAAAATTCATTCAGATAATCGTGACTGGCTTGACAAATCAACTTCTGCAATTAACTGAGCCTGAATTAATGACAATTTCGTCGATAGACGTTAACTTTAAAAGTTTAAATCCTGTTGCGGGACAAAGATTAGTGATAGGTAATGGAATGAACATTTCCTTTATGTGGGAACTTGAAATTGGAAAAGATGAAAAATCTACGATACCAATAAAGACTGACTTTCGTGTAAAATATATATCGGTTAATGATACTGAAGAATTACATAATACATATGTTGACGACGATCCATTACATATACATAATTTAGAAAGAATTGAGAAAGCATGTAGTGTTTACAGATGCAACTTTGATATTACAGATTATGTGGTAAGAACAGTTGCTCATTAATATATTAATTTAAAATAAATGATCACATATATATTCAAATATTTTTTACTTATTTTATATAAGAAATCATGGATTAATGGTAACTTAATATTGTAATATCTAGTGTCTACTTAAATACTACTAAATTTAACTTAACATTCCACATGTATTAAGTAATATAACATTAACTTATATTCGCAATGATACTTTCCAGACTTTATTCACAGTATCCTCAAAAGTTGAAACAAGTGGTGGTGGAGGAGAATTTTGTCGCGCTGGTAGTATGTGCCATCTGTGTCTTACAGTGATGCGCATGCCTAGTCTTAGTCCAAATCCTCCACCACAGTTAATGTATGAGGTTCTAGCGGACCAAACAATGTGGGCAGTATGTGGTCGGACAGCAGGCATTGTATCGTTAGAAGTAGTAGAAAAACAAAGCGTCACATTAGATGTGATGCCTCTAACGAGTGGTTATTTGCCTCTCCCTGTTGTTAGATTATCTAGGTATATACCTGCAACAGAATCGAAAAATGGTAAGTTTAAGAATTTTACATAATGTGACTATATGTAACACACTACTTGATTTGTTAGTTGTTGATTAATAGATTTATTTAACTTTTATTTTCTAATTTCAACAAGATATTACATTCATCTATATGTTTTATGAATTTCTGTAATTGTTTTATTTATTTCCATTTTAAGATATCGTCCGTAATAAAAATGATTTAGGATCTGGTCCTCGATTAGAGCCATTTAGTCCGGGACAAGTGTATAATGCCAGTAAAGCACAACAAGTGCACGTTCTGCCAGCAGCTCCATCAGAATCGAATTAAAGATGTATAAACTGTTGTTAAAGATATATACATGTTGCCTGTATGTAACAAGTGAATGTCTTTATTTAGAAAATGATTGCAAGTTTTTTTCTGTCAAAATGAACAATCATGTAAATATTTTATTTTATTTTTATACAGTAGATAAGGATTGCATTATATAATATTTTAAAACAAGCAAATCAGCAATGTATACGATAATTTAATATTTATTTTTTTGTATAAGATTTATAATTCATTTCCCTCGCAATTTTCTACTACTAAAGCTGTTTATGTTTCAAAATACTTAACTTTTTCGATTAATAATTAACGATGCTGTAAAATCTTTATTTAAAAACTATATGTCCTAAAATTTTTAGTTTTTATTATATGTTATTCAATATTTTGTTTTGAAAAATTATATTTAATATACATAATTGTTTCATAAGCGAATTAGATTTCATTACGAAGTAATCATATCATTGCAATAATATGAAAGATCTCAAAAAAATACTAAAAACTATTCTATTTCTTGACGATCTGTTATGATAAATATTGCAAAAACTTGCTCCCTGTGTCCTAAATTATGTACTTATATAGTTTTGTCATTTTATGTTAGGCATATAATAATATTTCCTTTCGTTGACTTTATTTTTTTCTATTCCAGGTTCATTTACAGTTTGTTATTCTATATACTACTTATTCTCCTTTTCGTTTAAAATATTGTAATATTTTATATCATCTTAATATCTTAAAAGAGAAAGTGGATCTATATGATAATATATAAAAATCTTTCTTATATAAAGTGCGAAAAAATATATATAAAATTTGTACAAATATTTGTTAGGGATATACTCATAAGCTTGTGAATAAATGTTACATATTTTTACATATTTTATGTTAAGCTATAACATATAGTAATCTTTATGGACATAAATTTAGTACGTAAATTAGAAATTTATTTAATGCTATGTAAAATATGTATTGTGTTCGTTTAATAATATTCGTATATCTTGACTTGACTAAGAAAATATAGCTACAGGGAAAAAGAACAATATATTACATTCGGTTAGTTAGTTTATTTTTCAGAATTGAATATTATCAGACAAATCTTTCTCATGTTGCCATGTTTTTTAGAATATTTTAATTTTCTGTTTGTAAATTTCTTATTTGTAAATGTAAGATGATTGCAAAATACTCTTAATTATTGATATTTACATATATCTTGAATTGCAAATATTTTATAAAACCGATATTTATATAAAACTATGTTTATTTCAATTTCTTCATAAAAAATATGTCTACATAGCGTAACATTTGTATTATTATATTTGGAAAAAATATCTATTTTTATTATATTTGTTGAATCTATGTGTCTAAGATATTCAAATCATTTTTTTATATAATAATATAATTTTGGTGGTAATGAGTTATACCAAATATTTATATAAAGTTGGAGATGCATGGTTAATAAAATATATTTTAATGAAATATTTTATTGTACATGTTAAATATTTTATTAATAGATAGAATAATATGTTATTATCACTTGTACAAAACTATTCTTACATTCTTAAAATATAGTACGCTTAAAATATATAAGAAGATTCTAGTATAAGTCTCAATTGATTAAAATATAGACTTGATTATATATATATATATTTCTTATATTTATATTTGTATTAATTTATATCTATAAATATTCAATTATCTTTTAGTATACTTTTTTGAATTATTCAGATATATATCTTGATTTAATACTCATCAAAATAGCACATTTTCCAAAAATAAATATAAGCCAAATGTTACACATACCACATCTATATACGTAACAAATATATAATAATGTATTTTAGTTTTTTATTTCTATTAATAAATTATATTTGAATTTAATATAGTAATATGATACATTAGCACTTCACAATCAACCTGTGATATGTAATCTTCAATTCATAAAAATAAAAAAAATTAATTTCTATCTAAATTATATTATTTCCACACAAGATACAATTGTATTTAATTTTTATATTATTTTAATACATATTTTATCAACTATGCATAACCATTTTTTAAAATAATCTAACTATAGTTTAAACAATGCTGATTATTAAATACTTGCATTTGACATATAATTCTAATTGTGATAATCTATATTATATAGATTTTTAAATGTAAAATAAATATAAGATAGATGAAATAACGTCGTATGGTGAGATAGATGAAATAAAGTCAACATGGTAATAATTAAGAATAGAAATGTAAAATAATTATCAAGTGGAATGTAATATCAGTTTTGTATTTCTAATTTGTTATATATAATAATGTAATGTCTTATATACATTAATTTAGACATCGTTAAAATATATTGTTCATGTTAAACTAATAGGATTATAATCCTGTTACAATAATTTTCTAAATAAAACTGTACTATACGGCAGATTGAAAAATAATGTAAACAGTTCTTATTTTTATAATGTGCGGAGATAATAAATTGTAAATAAAATTTATATAATTTATACAATATACATGTCGCCAATGAAAATGCACAAAGGATATTTTATTTATTAATTAAATAAGACATATGCAAAATAATTAAGTGATGTCTAAGTTACATTAAGGTTTCAATGAAAATGGTTCATTATGAATTTGGTGTAATAATATTGGATATAATATAATAATCATGCATACATATTTTTCTCACTATCAAGGAAGTTGTAGGTGTAGAAGTTGAACCATCTCTCTGCTGATATAGATAATTATATTTAGTTGAATCACATCATATCATCATACAACATACTTCCTTTCATTTATGCGTCATCGAATAAAATATAACACAGTGATTCTATATTTAATAACTAGGTGGTGGTTGCTGTATCAGAAGTAGGCCATGTCTTCTTTTCATTGTAATCCTTTCCCTTGAATATTTATCCTCTACAGAAAATCGAGCTATAAAAACATTAAACATTTATTATTTTAGAATTGTTTTATAAAGTACGAAGTATATGTGATAACAGTGTATCATTTACCTGGATGTGCAGAGAAGGTTGGGTTTCCATTAGGATCTACTTTCTGTAAAATTCAGAAATGAAGATAGATGAGAGATGTAAAAAGATCATAAATTTCATTAAAAAAATCAGAAATAGTTATATTGCGCGATTTTTAAATGCATAGAAAAACTCAGAGGTGATTAATATATATTTTATACATATATTGTGTGATATTGTTATATATGTCGCGATGTAGCATGTCGCATAGAATTACCTTTAAGGTATACACTCGCTTTCCATTTTCGTCCAAATAATACATGAGATACATTTTGGAATACTTTCTTGACTTACAATTCTCTTTGCAATTTCTTTTATATTTTTAATTATGTCGCGTATATTTCTTCAAATTATGATTTTTTCTTCCTTGATCAATATCTCCAACAACGCGCGGTTAGAATAAATGCAACATTGATATTTTCATATGTAGAACAGAGTCATACATCCGTCATACAAGAAGAAATGAAGCGATAGCCAATCGTCTTTCTGCTTCTCTAGAAAAATATTCTATTGGTTACTACACTTACGCCATGCGCACGTGTCGTTTACATGTAAACGAGTCATTAGTATTGTATAACGCCAATTTGAATGAAGCTTCTTTTGCCGAATATATATTTTATTTTATATACATTTTATTTTATTACATTATGGCTGCGTTTCGATATTCAGCCAGTACTGAAAATATATAGTTCAGATCGCGTATACTATAGATTTTCAGTGAATATCGGATCGCAGCCTGTATCTGCTTTAATTTTCATATGTTGCGTTTATTGAAAATATTTTGGATACACTAGAAAAAAATATGCAAAGAAACCTGTTTCATCAATAATTAAAATCTATCTCACTTTGCATGAAGTCTTTTTCTTTTTTTCTTCTTTTCTTTGAATGGCCTTGACATACAAACACACCAAAACGGATCAAAATATAATCTTCAAACAGAAATATAAAATCGAAAAATATTGAAGCCAAGTTAGAAGTGAATATTAAATGAGAAAATGCAGACATTAATTCAAACAATTTTTGCAAGACAGAAAAAGACACGTTCATCTCATCCAAAGATCTCTAACAGACATCAATTGCAGTATATACATGGAGAATCGATTAATTATGTATGAAAAATAAAACATGTTTTAATGTTCCGTACTATTACACGTGATTGATTTCTTTATGCGTTTAGTTTATAGGTCAATGACAAGCAGGAAATTATTGCATATAGTTGTAGTCTGCTTTTTCTGCTAAACATAACATGTTTTGAAAAAAATAAAATTAATCTTCATTGATAAAAATAGATAGATTCTGACATAAATTGTCAGAACTTTTTATTTTATTATTCTTTTCAAAACATTAGTAATCTCGAATAATAAAAAGTGTGACACTGTCTGTCTTGAAGACACGAAAGTTTGATTATAGTTAGGAATTATAGAATTCTATCTCTTTCCTAAAAAGTTTCCGGAATTTTTGATGTATCCAAAAAAGATTCTGACAATAAATTTATATCTTCAAACTTCTACTTTTTACATTACTAGAATTTTTTTTAATATATCAAGAACTTTGAAATTTTTTATAAAAGAGATAGAATTCTATAATCTTACAATAATCAAACTTTTATATCTTCCAGAGAGTTATATCTTTTAAAGTGTTAATTTTATCTTCATGTGATAAACATCCCCTATATTTCCGTTCATATTTTAAAATAATTAAAAAGCTACTGAGCGCGCGCATTCCAGTCCTCTTCATATCTGAAAGGCAATGTTCTTCTGATAGTCTTGTTTTGAATGTATTATTTATTCTTAAACTTAAATTTTATATTTTTAATCTGTATTGTTTATTTCTTTTTATTTTCATTGATTTTCACTTGATTTTTTTTTTTAGTGATTCATAGATCAAATATTATTTGATCATAAATTGACTACAAATTTTGATTACAAGCTTTATCAATAAAGATCATAGTAAAAATATTATGCGGAACTTATCGGAAATAATTTTGTATTCAAAAGAAAAAGAGAAATAAAATAAATAAGAAAAATAAAATAAATTTTAAAATTCTTAAATATGCGTTTATTTATAATTCTTTTTCGGATAGATAAAAATTATTATTTATGGATAAATATCCAGTGAACAGAATATTTATCTAAAATCGACGCATAAGATAAGATATCTTTCAGAGTTTTTTATGAGATATCTTAAAGAATTCTTAAAGATATCTTAAAGTTGTCTTATGCGTCTTGTGCTTATTGAGTATGGACAAATTGTGGTCAGTCAAATGCGATATGGAGAGAACAGAAATCTAAAAATTTGGCTACAGATCTAAAAATAATTTTTTTGAGTCTTCAAAATTATTATGTACAACATTCAAATTGGTTGTAAAAGATCAAGATTTTTGCTATTGTACTATTATCATGCTTAAATCTCCTACAAAATAAAACACACACAAATAATTCTGATTATCTTCAAATTTCCCGTATCTGACTAGACTTTTAGATTTGCTAGCAAAACTGTCCTTTCTATATAATTTTGTAAAAATTCGCTTTTGGGAATGTCAACCTCACAGATTTCGATATCTTACAGTATACAAATTTCCGATCCATCGATATTTTTATCCAAACAAAGTTCTATTCCGGATTCCTTGGTCAAAGAAATTTCGAAAGAGAAGCGATGGGCGCCTCGTCGCTCTCGGAAGATCTGACCTGCATGTATATTAATTATCGTACTTATTATCGGACAACCGCGTGACAAGCTGCCGGTTACAAACGTAGGCGCGACGATGCCTCGCCGGTGATTAGCCGGGAGACATCCACCAGGCGAGGTGCACCAGCCGCGGGGCAGCGGCGAGCGCGAGCGTGTAGGCGTGCTGATTGACAGTTGAACCTCGTGGCGAGAAGTCGGGGCGCGTAGTGAACACTCGTGCACGCGTTCGCACGCGGTAGCAGTCGTCCGGATGACCAGTGTCACTTCCCCCAAGCGAATCGCTGTCGGTGCCCGTTCGTCGACTTATCGCCCGTGACATCCGGTGTGCGAATGCTCGCCGAAATGAGAAATTTTCTCGAGTGACGTGTAAACTCTTCCGAGGTAAACGACGACTGTTTACGTAGGAATCTGTCGATCTCGGCGCGAGTGCGATTTCGCGGTCATTGGAGTGAATTGCGGGACGACGAGGTGTGAATTACGGGATGCTTGGTGCGCGGAAAACAGCCGTCATCCGCCGTGCGGAGAGAGTCGTTTTGACGTTTTGTTTCCGTTAATGATTATACAAAAGGAAGCGCGTAATTGTTCGCAGTACGTGCGAATATGCGCAGGTGGAGGTCATCCGTTTGCGTAACAAATTACACAAGGCTAGCACGCTCATTGTTTCCATGACAATTAATGAATTTCTAAAGTGATCAATCGTTAGCAGGAAAATTTCTTTAATGAATTATACAGAAGGTATTTCTCGCAATGTATATTTAATGTATATTTAAGTTATTTCAAATTTTAAGTAATTTTATATGTAATAATAATTTTGAAAATAACAATTAATTAATAGAAAAAAAGAATTATAACCATGCGAAAATGTGTATCAAAAATAACAATGAATTGATGATTCTTAACATTAATTTATATTAAGTTATATTTTTCGATTTAAATTTTGTAATGCAAATTTTTAAGTTGTTTAAAATAATTAGTAAATTAGTAAATTTCAAAGAATTGTGCACATCCATGTAATTGGTAGATATATCAATACAACTTCGTGTCACGTGATAAAAATTTGAATTTCACATTTCGCACTAATTTCAAATGAAGTGACAGCCAGACGGTTCGAGAGTAAAGTTATAATATTGTTCTTAAATTCAGATACAACGTGTTGCAACTGAACGAAATATAAGATCCGAGACAGTTGGAATCGTAAATATTTTCGTGATAATCTAAAGGTTACAGATTACTTCCTGACGATATGTGGAAGTAATGCTTCACTCGTATTATCGGCAAACCTCCGTTCGTAAAAAATAATCGCGCCGATATCGTTACGGCAGCCTTAAATCTGCCTTACGCTACTAATCTCATTCAGTCTAGCGGTTAGAAGCGATCGCAAATCGCGTGACGTATCGCGATTCTTAAATATTATCGGATTATCGACTGCAATTGCTACGTGGTCGGTCGGTTTCAGATGCAGCGGAGAAAGATTCGTTGGATTATTCAAGTACCGGAGGAGCCGCGAAATATCGAGACCGTCGAGGAGCAAATCTTAAATATAAAAGGTAAGAATGACGCGCATATCTTCAAGAAATACACATGTAAAAGGAAGTTCTAATCTTTCGAAGGCCTTTTAAAGATCTTTCGAATGCCATTCTAACAAGTTTAGAAGTTTTATATTATCTGATTATCTGAGTCTACTTGCTGGATACAAATAGTGCAAATTGATTTGTACAGTCCAAAAGTTTATATTTAACTTGTTTTAAATATCATTTAAAATTACTAAAAACTTTTTAAAGTTTTTGAAACGTAATTAATATGGAATAGATGTGATTGGATGTACTTTTGAGTTATATGTTTGATGTATCAATATTTAAGTAATACAATTTTCTGATTAAAAATAAATTTAATAATATTTTAGATGGAAGTATTTATTAATAATAAATAGTGCGAAAGATAAAATCCTTCCTGTTAATGATTGACATAATATGCACAATTTATTGTATATATAAATAAACATTCTAAATATTGAAGTTTTCGTGTTTGTTTTATGAAGTTTTATTGAACAAAAGCTCTTAAATGTAGATATCTTAAGTCATATAGATTTAGACTGATAAGGAAAGGTCGCGACATGAAAACATAATATATCAGTCAAATCGAGCTATGAGTTTTTGGATTTTTATCAATCTTCTATTAACTTGTCATAAATCAGGATCTTGTATATAAAAAGATGAAAAATTTAAAACAATCAGATTATTAAACATCAATTTCACAAAATAAAATAAAAATTTAAGTATATTTATTATTTTAATAAAATATTCTATCTATCTAAATATTCGTCTTTAATTTAAATTATTTAAATAAAATTAGATAATCTTCGAAAAATATCAGTTTCAAATTTTTTCCCCGAAAATAAATATGATTGAAATTCGCGAATCTAAAGAAGCAAGTAAAGATCTTCTACATTCTACGTTCATATCATGCCTTCAGCATAATGTAGCTAATACCAATAGTATTTTGTTCTATTCGTTATGCAAAGTAGTGACACGATACGTGTCATTTACGCATTATAAATAGAGATGATCAGCACATAATCATGTTTTCGCGCTGCGTTTTACTCCGTTTTCTCCTTTTAACGTAACATCTTTTTATAGACGATTACAATTGTGTTTTACGACCGTAGTTCTTTCGCTGACGGATCACTCCGTCCGCGCTCCTATTCGCTGGCTTTATTAAATTTACTTCGAAACGCGAATACCGATGTTGCGGATAATGCAGAT